CCGGCAGGGGCAAGATTTTTCTCTTCTGCACGGCGTCAAGACTATTTTTGTGGCCCATTCAGCCTCCTATCCAATAGGTGTCGGGGGTAAAGCGACAAGGGTGTGAAGCTGACCACCCATCTCCACCTAATGCCGAGGTCTGAAGAGGTGGAGGTATACCTCCACTCCCCCAGATGTCCTAATGGCGTAGTGCTTAACTAATAAAGCGTAGGGACAACTTCTTTATGACGATATACATCGATTGTGTTTTTGGACATTATCCATCGACCTGTTTTAATTTAAAACGTTTCGGAGGCTGGATTCTGTCTCCGAAACACAATAGATGTACAACTACTTTTTAAAGCGACATTTGCAAGAAATAATCAATAATTATTTTCGTTGATGTTTCAGAATGAACCACCTACGTGGTTGTCTTTCTTTCTTCGGACAAGCTGCCAGTCTGTTATTCACTTCTTAACGTGTCGACACAAAAACCATTTTTGCATTTCGACGTTTGTTCTGTTGTTCGGTTGGAAGCTTTCTAACCGTCTGTACATTTTGCATTGTGTATTTGTAATTACTGGAGCCTTTGTACAGGTCAGGGGTGCAGGTCCATTAGTCTGGAATAGCGGTACTCGAGGCAAATCCATGCTCAGGTAGAAGGAGAAGAAGACATTTACAGGAAATTAACAAGAAATTATTGTTATCTGACTGTCTACGGCGCCATGAAAATTCCATTTCCTCACATTAATCATGTCCTGTCTGGAAACGTGTGGAGGTCTGAGTTGTAACTACACGGAGCCAAGCCCTTCTTGAGAAGCCGCCAGTTGCGCAGCTACTCCAACACCTTCCCAGGATTTTATGGTACCCGAAGGTTCATTTTTGTGTTCACAAGAGCCCTCCACTGGTCCCTATCCTCAGCCAGATCAATCCAGTCCATACCATCCTGTCCTATTTCTCAAAGATCCATTTTAATATTATCAATCCACCTACGTCTTGATCTTCCTAGTGATTTCTTTTCTTCTGGCTTTCCCATCTATATCCTATATGCATTCCTCTTCTTCCCCATTTGTGCTACATGCCCTGCCCACCTCATCCTCCTTGACTTGTGCGTTCTAATTATACTTGGCAGGAGTACAAGTTATGAAGCTCCTCGTTATGCAGTTTTCTTGTACCTCAGTTGAAAGGCTTTCTGTAAAGTACACTGACGTTTCGGAGGAACGTGTCGTTTCCATATTCACTGACGAAAAACAAGCGAAGAAGAATGCAGCCTCTGCTTGCAGCTTGCTAATTCTGGGTTCTTTGATTTATGCTTCCATAATGAGGAAGGACCTCATATGTCCTTTTGAAAAGGACTACACGGCGTTAGAACTGAGATGTAGTAAGAACCTCATATGCATATCCTTGTCTCGTCAGGTTCATGGGTTTTCTGCGCTGGGCTTAATGCGTCGCTTTCGGGCCCTAAAAATTTCGGCTGGTTCGGCATCCCACCCCTCTGTTCACCCAAACATGGCTTCACATCCAACATATTGCCTAATGCGAAATCTACACAAGGGCTCTATAATCCTCTCTCAAAAGTCATTATCCGTGAAGATGGCAACTGAAATTTTTGCCGAAACGTTGGAAGAACCTCAACAGCCTACGCGGTCTAGCCCCAAGACGATAAGCCCTTCACAAAGAAACTGCGGTTTGCTAGTCGCTGTAAGTTTCATTGTTCTGATAGCATCAAATATGAAATCTTCATTATATGTGACGCCGTGTAGTCTGGCATGACGTTACTAGCATTTCGTACGAAACTGCTGATCCAGTCTTCAATGTGAAACATGGAGGCGGCAGATTTCTCCAAAATTTTGTTAACGTTCTGCCAGACTACACGGCGTCACATATCAGAAGACCTTAATCTTCATTGGCAAAACTGTTGCGCATTTGCTCAAAGCAAGAACTGTGGAGCCAGAGAAACAGTCGCAGCTAACGTACGGGCCTGAAATAACATTCGTTTCTAGGCAACGGCCACGAAACTAATTACTGAACGACGTCCGTTGCTAGGCGACTTATTCTTAATGAGCAAATATAGACAGCCGCTGCTAGGGAACGGCTCAGTAAACACGGTTCCGCTGCAAGGAAAACTTTGACTGTCTATAAGCTGGACAGCCGAGGTGTAGGAGTTGGAATCCCTGTAGAAGCAAGATTTTTCTACCCTCCACCTCGTCCAGACCGACGTTGGGGCTCACCCAGTCTCCTATCCAAGGGATACCGGGGGCTCGGGAGGTAATGCGGCCGGGGAGCGAAGCTGACAATTTACCTCCGACTAGTGCCGAGTTCAAGAATAGGTGGATCTATACATCCGCTCCCCTATACTTCTTCATGGCGTAGTGCTTAATACAGCTGCACCTTAGAAGGTATCTGGCAGTCGAGACCGTCGAGGCTTTGAACAGTAGATTATATCTTATTTCGAGTAGCTCGTGCTACGCCGACAATCCAACCATTTGAAGAGACCCAAGCTTGACCGTCGCCTAGTTCAAGGCTCTTTGTGTAGGTTCAGAAATAGTCTTCCTTATATAGGGAAGATACAAGTGGGGAGGTTATGAGGCCCAAGTCGAGGGGGTTAAGAAGTGAAATACAATCGAAACGTCGGCATCCTAACCGAGCTGAGTGGTTAGCTCAGCGATAAAATACAATATATTTGCCAAACATCCTCATAAAACTCAAAGCTTTTCCCCCAAATCCCTCAGGGAAACAGGATCTCAAGTTCAACAAGGCAGGATTTCAAGTTCTCACACCGGTAGTTACGAAGATATAACGCCGCGTGATCCGTTGAACGTCAACAGACGTTTCGGTGGAATATATCGCTTCCATCTTCAGGGTCGAAGATTAATCCGTGAAAGAAACCAGCTTGAAACCAGGCGGGAAGCAGAGAATTTCTGGCTTCTTACTCAGTTTATCCTTCCTGCTTGAAAGAGGAGGTGACACCTTCATCCGAAACATCGGGCTCTCTCAGAATTACTCTTCGAATGATGAAGTTTCTCAGTGGGTATTTGTCTCCATTATCCATACGCTTCTACTCCCTTCGGTTCAAAAATTTCCCCCGCGCCCTGTTCTAGAAACCTCCATCTAATTTGTCCTTCAGTGTGAGAGATCGAATATCACAGGCATACAAAACAACAGTTAAAATTATAAAGAGTAGGGGTCGGGGTAACGGCGAGCTACGAGCTAGGTGGTTGGGTTTCAACTTCCGGGAGAGGCAATATTTTTCTGTTCTTCACGTCGTCCTCACCGGCTGTGGGGCCGACGAAGCCTCCTATCCAATGGGTACCGGGAGCTCTTTCCCCGGAAGTAAACCGGCCAGGCCGTGGAGCTCTATTTAGTGCCGAGGTCAATAATGGATTTATACCTCCACTTCCCATACGTCATCATGACATAATGCTTAATTACTTAAGCACAGGGACAAATTTACTCCCCGATCACACTGACAGTGCGGTCTAATACATGAACTACCTTCGTCCGCTTGAACACTGTGATCGTGGGTTCGAATCCCACGCGAGGCATAGATGTCTGAGAGTTTATTCTGTTTGTGTAGGTAGAGGCCCTGCGACTGGTTGATCCCCGTCCAAGAAGTCCTACTGACTGTATATATGATTATGAAACTGAAAAAACTGGCCAAGCCCAAAAAAGGGCTGCAGAGCCCTTGGTGAATGAATGTACTTTCTTTCTTGTTCTTTATGGGTTTTGACACCGCGTTATACTGTACAAGCTCACTTCTACACGGGGACGCGAGGCCCACAAATTTAATTCTAAATTTATAATTTTGTAAAAGTCCCTTATAATTAGAATGATCAAGTCAAGGAAGATGAGGTAGCAGGGCATGTAGCACGAATGGGGGAGAAAATGAATGCATATAGGATATTGGTGGGAAAGCCAGAAGGAAAGAGACCACTGGGAAGACCAAGGCGTAGGTGGGTGGACAATATTAAAACGGAGAGGTAGGATGGGATGATATGGATTGGATTGATTTGGCTCAGGATAGGGACCAGTGGAGGGCTCTTGTGAGCACGGTAATGAACCTTCGGGTTTCATAAAATGCTGGGAAATTCTTGAGTAGCTGCAGATTTGGCGGGTTCCTCAAGAAGGGCTCAGCTCCATAAGTAAGTAAGTAAGACACCCCTTGTCGAGGGTGACATCTATGAGTCAGGACTTGCGTCAAGTTGAGTGCCACGGTTGAAGACTATTTTCTATCAACAATTTTACTTTTGCCAAAGCGTTTAATGTTGAAGTTGATTTTCACTCCTATGTCTCTCTCCGTGTGGGTGTTGGCTGTTCTATTGTGGCCTATGTTAACGAAGCTTTTGGTACACAGAGTATATTATAATTGAGTGTGTTTTTTGTATTTCGTGGGGTGGAATGAGACTGGGTTCACTTCGTACCTTGGTCACTAATTGACGTACTGTACTCTCCCCCGATGCTAGGTCAGTATGGAGCATTCGATGGAATGAGAATTGGCAGGGAAAACCGAAGCAGTCGAAGAAAACCTAGCCCAGTGCCACTTTGTCCACCAAAAATCCCACATGACCTGACCTGGGATTGAACCTGGGCCGCCGCGGTGGGAAGCAGGCGACTAACCGCCTGAGCTAGTCACGGCCCACCCTTGACTGTCAGGACAAGAGATGAATCCTGATCTGAATCACGAGAGAGTGGACCTAGATTCGAACCCAGCACTTCCCAAATACCGGCACGCCAACCTGCTCTTTAGGGCAGTTCGCGACTTTACTTCGGTATAAGCTTCTCGAAGTGAGAGGGAAATATGGAAGGGACTAATAACTTCGAAACGTCGGCAGGCCTGCCCGCATTGGAACTGTACAAAACTGAAATATAGTATCAGCAATAAACTATCAGGAAAGTCCGAGATCAGCGGAAACGTTTCAAGTTGGCAATGCTGGGGGTGTGGAGGGGGTAATGGTTGTATTTGGGGTGGGTTAGGGATGTTGTCGAGAGGGGATGCAGAGGTTTTTATGTTCTACCGTGGCACGGCCTGGAGACAGTTGCCAGATGAATAGCGGTGTGTAATGTTGCAGGCAAATAGCCCTCGGAAAAGCGAACATAGTTCCAAATATTGAGGTGTGTTGTGTGGTGTACACGACCCGTGACAGCCGCCAGTACTCGAACTCCTGGACTACCCGTGCTTCGACTTAAAGCAGGTGGGTTCAGTTCTCTTCAATAAAACAGATCCACATCTGTCAGATTCAAATTCTGGTCTATACAAATAAAAAAATATTGTGATTTTGAAAAAGGAACACTAGTAACACCAGTAAATATATTTGTTATTTTAATACAATTTTTATTTTTTCTCTTTATATTTGGCCATATCTAAAATATGTATTAATTTTTCAACATGTTTTCCAATTATATTTAAAATCAGATGCTTGAGTTTTTTTTTTCAATTTTCGATTGTATTAAAATGACATTTTTTTTTAAACAAGAAAATTAGCATATTGAAATGACAATATTAATATATTGCTAATTTTATTTCAATAGAATATCGTAAATGAGCTGAAATATAAAGCAAGGAATATTGTATTTCAAATTATTTTTTAATATACTGATACTTCAATAAATTTGCCAGATATAATTTTAATTATCAGAAATTCTATAATATATTTAAAGTAATTTTAACAATTTATATATAATTTCCATATCTATAATGTTTTTATACGAAGCGTAAAGTAAGACGGTCTATATTTCAGGTCATGTACGAACCGACTATCATGTTGGATATTATCAGAAAGTAGATATGTTTTGAAAACTATATAATTTTACAAGTTGTGAATATTTCCATAGCGTAGCACTATTCATTCTTCATATATGAACGTCTTGAAGGCTCGATAAAATGAAACAAATGTAGGGATATCCCACAAAGGAGCAGATATTGAACCTTGACAGTACTCGGACTTCAGTCCTGGGTTACTGCAAGCTGTGGCCAAGCCATGCTCATGACTGTAAGCGTTACGGTGGTTCTTACTTTCATGTAACCACTTTGAAAATGTGGGAGTCAGGATAGGGTAGTCCGTATGGCCCGCTACGGGGCTGGAAGGCCCGGATTCGATTCTCGTTATGAGCAAGAGATATTTCTGTTATCCACAGCGACAAAATATCTCCTGTCAAATAGGCTGGGGCTTTCCCTGGGGGTAAAACGGCCTGAGCCTGAAGCTGACCATATCTCCGAATAATGCGGAGGTAGAGGACGGTGAAGTTATACCTCAACCCCCCCCCATACATCATGGCATGGTGCTTAATTAGGCACAGGGACAAATTTTCCCTTAGCCGTGACACTCACTTTCCCTTGGCATTATGAAAGTTCTCACTCGAACATGTGTAGAGCGGTATCGAACGTAATGCGCCAATAGAATGCGAGTTTATGGACGCTGTTAGGTAATAATGCAGTAATATGATTCTATGGAAATTAAAAGCTTTGAGGAAAGGTACCATTCAATCCAGAATTTTCGTCTTCTCGTCTGCAGTCTAAACACGTAAAAATTAGAATATACAAAACGATAATTTTGCCTATGGTACTGTGTGGGTGTGAAACTTGGTCTCTCACATGAAGGGAGGAACATAGGCTGAGAGCGCTTAGGAGAATATTTGGACCGAAGAGGGATGAAGTGAACAAGAGGCAAGAAAAACTTACATAATGAGGAGCTTCATAGCTTTTGCTCTTCGGTAAGTATAATTACAATGACCGAGTTAAGGGGGGTGAAATGGGCAGGGCATGTAGCACGAAAGGAGGAGAATATGGAAGTATATAGGATTTTGGTGGGAAAGCCAGAAGTAAAGAGACCACTCAGAAGACCAAGTTGTCGGTGGGTGGACAATATTAAAATGGATCTTAGTGAAATATGACAGGGTGGTATGGGCTGGATTGTTGTGGCTCAGGATAGGGACAGCGGAGGGCTCTTGTGAACACGGTGGTTCCAAAAAGTTTTGTGAAAGCTGCGTAACTGGCAGCTTCTCAAGGGTTTGATCCCATGTTCATTGGCCCATTTGTCTCGCGTGTTGGTCCGATTTGTACGAAAACAGAAAATAACCCAATGTGGGCACGCCACGCCAATAATGTTCATATAGTCAAATGGGACAGTTTGTAACTGATCTTCTTTACGACTTTATTACACGCTCCTTCAGTAAGAGTTTAATTTTGCTTTCAGTACAGGGTTTTAATTGCCGAATAATTGCTTGAATTTCATTTGATTTGCTGAATTTGATCATGAAATTATAGAATATAGGTACTGTGAATTTGAAGCGAATAGTAATTAGCAACTGACCTGCGACCCGGGATGGCTCAGTCGGTATAGCGACTGGCTACGGGCTGGACGACCGAGGGGTCGGAGTTCAAGTTCCAGTAGGAACAAAACTTTTCTCTAATCGTCCAGACCGGCACTGGGCTCCACCAACTTATAAAATGGATACCGGGGGCTCTTTCCCGTGGGCAAAGCGGCCGGACCGTGAAGCTGACCACTCACCTCCAACTAGTACCGAGGTCAAGAAAATATGCCTATACATCCACTCCCCAATACGTCTTCATGTTGTAGTGATAATATGTCTGGACGTTTTGGAGAAGAGAAATTTCTTGACCCAACCGGTACTCGAACTCCGACCCCTCAGTCGTCCAGCCCGTGGTCAGTCGCTATACCGACCACGCTACCCCGGCTCCTTTAATTTGTATAATGTTTCTAAAACTTTGGAATAACTCTTTGCGTTTTTAATATGGACTGAGCGAACGCCGTGTGCATTGGGCATGGTACTTTGTGCTTTAAAGCAATAATTCGCAGCCTCGCTTCTTGCGAGACATCCATATTGTAAAGATCCACATTCCAACAATAGCGAAGCTAGGTTTTCTTACACAGTAATACTCTCTAGGACGTGCCACCGCGTAGTCTGGTATAAGTTCACGTTACGCGTTATGCATCCATTTTCAGGCAATCAACCAGCGAAAAACAAGCACGTTATTGAATGCTTAGCTTATAGTTTGGCCCCTGAGGTGAGGCACCCCGTTCCTCCGAAACGTCCGTAAACTCCTACCCAGCCACACGCCATCACAGGACGGCACTCTTTCCGTAATATATCTTCATACAAATTATGTTGTTCTGAGGATAGAGGCGCCGTTTTTTGCGAAACCATCTGCAACCATCCATCACTACACTGACAACCTAATGTACCATAATCTGTATTCTTATATTTTCCACAAGTAAAAATATATCTGTTCTGATCCAATGAAGTCGGTATAGCTACAAGCTTTCGTGTAGATGGCCGGGGTTTCGATTCCCAGCAGAGGGAAGACATTTTTCACATTTCCACAGCAGCTTAGCCCATTCAACATCCTCCAGAATGCTTCTTGACGGGGGGGCAAAGCGGCCAGATTGTGAAGCTGGCAACTGATATCTCATTTAGTGAAGAGGTCAATAATAGCAGAACTGTACCTCCACTCCCCCATACGTCACGGCGGTTGCTTAAATAAGCACAGGGCAACTGTACCTTTTACCTGTAAGATCTGAAGGTTCGTGAGACCTGTGAGGTTGAACAGGTTGTCCCGTTGGTCAGGCGGGCGCCAGTGTTGTCCTCTTCTCGATGCCAATTTCAGTTTCAACAACAACGCCTTAAGGCGCCCCTCCCCCTGTCCTTCGGAGCCAAGCGAACAATACCAGGCGAAACATCTTGCGAGACAGGCAAATATCTATATATGTAGATTAATAAATGGAATTAGTTTCAAAACGCAGTTCCTAATTTTCATGAATTATCAGCAATCACTTAATATTCTCCTGCATACATTGCATAAGACGTAAACTTATTCCCCATGAAGATGCAAAGCAAGCCGTCATGAAGGCATTCTAATCTTACCCTCCTCAAAATCAGCCCTCTGGATATGTTTCAAGACTCCATGGAGCGGAGCCCTTCTTCAGAAGCCGCCGGTCGCTCAGCTACTCAAGAATTTCCCAATATTTCATGGAACCCGAAGGTTCATTACCGAGTTCACAAGAGCCCTCCAGTGATTCCATATCCTGAGCCAAATCAATCCAATCCATATCATCCCATCGTACCTCATCATTTTAATATTATCCACCCACCTACGCCTTGGTCTTCCCAGTGGTCTCTTTCCTTCTAGCTTTCCCACCAATATCCTATACACATTCCTCGTCTTCCCCATTCTTGCTACATGCCCTGCCCACCTCATCCTCCTTGACTTGATCATTCTAATTATACATGGAGAAGAGTACAAGTTATGAAGCTCCTCATTATGCAGTTTTCTCCATTATTCACTTCATCTCTCTTCGGTCCAAATATTCTCTTCAGCACCCTGTTCTAAAACATTCGCAGTCTGTATTCATAAATGTTAGAGACCAAGTTTCAGAACCATACAGAACCACAGGCAATACTATAGTTTTTTTATTCCAAGTTTTCTGTTTTTAGACTGCAGACTACACGACAAAAAGTTCTGGACAGAATTGAAAACTTTACTCGAATTCAATCTCCTTAATTTCTTTCTGAATCAAATTTTGATTTGTAGCTGTTATTGCCAGATATTTGAACTGCTGCATTTGTACCTTGCAGAATCCTCTGTTCTGAGAACAGCGTAGAGTTTACCGCTTTCAACTTAATGTCACAGCATTTATTCGGACACTGATAGTCGTCAAGTGACTCCGATAAATCCTTCTTTGATGTAACTATTTTCTTCATTTGATGGGTACCACCGTACCGGATCACTTGCTGTGTAGATCTTTAGGGTAATGCGGTATCCTAGCCTAGAAGTGGCAGTTGCTCTTAAATTCTTGTACCTGCCTGCCTAGCTACACGATGTCACGTGAGCATCGTTATTTATTAATAGTCCATTTATGCTACTATCTATCAAGAGATGAGTCGAGATTCTGTACTCCCCCCCCCCCAAAAAAAAATGTTTCATATCCCGTTGTTGTTTTTGAGTACTCAGAATGTTTTATGAAGAGGGCGTACCGATCAGGAAACCAACAGTTATCTATTCTGCAGCTAAGTACATGTGTACTTCTGCAAGCTTTCAAGTACTTGTCCGGTTTGAGGTTCTCACAGCGGTGTTCTTGAAGAATACTATCTTCTGGGATATAAAGTTGTTGAAAGTCAACTGACGTTTCGGAGGAACATATCGCCTACATTTTCAGAGCAGAAAATAAGTTGT